TGGGAGTTATTCCTGCCGAGGCTGGGAGATGTCCATCTCTGTGGGATGGAATGGCTCGTGCCTGTGTGGTGGTGAGGGCTTTGGCTGGGCATATTTGGTAGAGCAGGAGCATCACTGGTGCTGCCAGACCCATGCCAGTGCCTGCACCAGCACTGCCTCATGACCATGGTCATCCCACACTCATGGCATGGTGCACTGTACCAGCACAGACCGTGGTGTGTGTGTCCTGCAGCTCTGGAAACTGCACGGCCAGCTCTTGCAGTCCAGCGGCAGCAGGCTGCTGATTAGTGCTGCTCCTTGCAGAGGCAGCACCGTGTCCCTCCATGGGCCACTGTGGGGGAGAGGCAGGGATGCAGAGCCCAGGGGACAGGGATTGTGCTTGTCATCACGTTCCAGTGATGGCGTGGTGTGGGGGATGTGGTGGTGAGGCACTGCAGACCCTGACCAAATCCATGCCTGTGCACAGCAGGTGAAGCCAGAGGGATGAATTGAGTCCCTATGTATTTCTGTACTAGTGATAGTGCTCACCCACTGCCTGGCCAGTGAGGGGGTGGAGGGAGGCGCTTCAGAGCCTTGTCCTCATCTGGAAAGGCAGCTGAGTGGATTTTTGTGCTGGATGCTGTGTGTTGTGGTGGCTCAGGGAGCTGGCAGAGCCAGAGGCTGTCAGCACACTGTGTCTGTGCCTGCACTCCGAACGCCTCCAAGACCCAGGCATCACTCAGGTTGGGGCCACGCCCCCCCCAAACTGTGCCTGGTGACAGGATGACCGTCAGGCTGGTATTACATGGCATGTTCTGGTGCTGAGCTGGAGTCTTCCTCCTTGGCCAGGCTGTGTTGTGGTGGCATCGAGGGTCCAAGTGCTGCTCTGGGCACCCTCTGCTCACCCTGTTTGAACACCCTGCAGTACATCAGCACAAATGAGGCTGGTGACACCACTGTCCCCGTCTCCCATCAGCAGCAGTATCTGCCTCTGGCTGCCCCTGCCTGTGGCCAGGGCTGGGTGCTGTGGTTGGTGCCAGGGGTTCCTGACACTCCATGTGTGCCTGAAGAGGTAGTGGTATGGGGGAGATGTCACATGTGGGATCCTTGGCACTGCCAGCTCTGCTCTGCTGGGAGCTTTGGAGGGAAGGGCTGAGCATGGATATTGCTGCAGGAGTCTCCAGGGCCGGTAATTCTTTCTGCAGGAAAGATGCTGCGTTCTGACTTCAGCACTGACATGGGACTCTGAACATGTGTAATCTGGCTGACAGATGGCAAGTCATAGAGGTGTGATTTATGATACAGCACGGTATCTAACAACCACCTCTGGTTGTCAGGAGACAATTCTTCCCAGTGCTGCTGTTGGTGTTTCAATTGAGGGGTTTTCCCGCGTGTCCCCTTGGCTCCAGGGAGCACCGGTGGCCTTGGCAGGCTCTGGTGCAGCTGGTGCCGGGGTCCTTCAAGCCACAGCAGCACTGATGTGAGCTGCTGCAGGGATGCTGCTTCTTATGGTAGAATGGGCAGGTCACCCCAAGTCCTGCTCAGGCTGGGCCATGAGCACTCCCATGGGGAACTGGAGAGCTATGCTGTCCTTGTCCCCATCCTGTGGCTGGGATGAAGCTGGGTCAAGGTGGCAGTGGCTCTCTAGGGGTGCCTGCTCCCCAGATTGTCACTTGTGGTGCTGAGTGTGCTCGTACTGATGGGCAAAGGCATGAAAATTTTGCTCACCAGTGAAGTGCACAAGAGGATGGATGCCGACAGCCACAATGCCTCAATCACACAGGCACTCTGTGCCTCAGTTTCCCTGTCTCTACCTTAAGACCCCTAATGTTGATCTTTCTGAAGGGACAGGGACATCTACATGCATTTGGAAAGCTCTTGGGCAGTGAAAGTATGGTCCCAACAGCATCTCTCTCCCCATGTTAGTGTCTAACCACTGCTGCCACCCACTGAGTACAGACCCTGGGCTCAGTGCTCAGCTGTGAGAGCATCCTGGCCCTGGGACCATCCCGATCCTGTGGGGTGGAGTCGCCCTGACAAGAGGAGCTGGGGGAAGCTGACCCACAAGCAGGGTCTCAGTGGGGCAAGGGGAGGGGGGCAGAGCAGGCTGCTGGCGCCAGGCTGTGTTTGCCTCTGTGCAGCCACGGCACAGCAGGTATGATTCATTACTTCTTCTGCTGTACAGTTTATGTAAAGCTGCACTGTATAAATAGCCAGATGACACATGAACTTCCTCCTAGCTCTCTAATTAGTGATTCTTCTATTGGAGCTTTTGGGTCCAGCGGAGGTGAGAGGAGGCTGGTTCATTGCTGAGCACTGGATGAGTGGCTGACAGCTCTCAAGGGGAGGTAGTGGCCTGTCAGAGCCGTCTCCATTAATCTGGCTGTGAGCAGTGGGAGGGGGTGGGTGACAGGTAGGCCGAAGGGTTGATCTGGGGGTGAAAGCAGCATTGGTCAACTTCTGTCTCACTTGCCCACCCTGGGTTAGGCAGGTCTGCACAGCACCTGCCCTGAGCTGGGGAGCATCCCCTAGAGTATCCCTTTCCTCCCTGCATCTTCCCCTGCAATGCCGGCAGCATGTCCCCGAGCACTCAGGTGGCTTCTCCAGCCCTGTCAGTGCACCCTGTTCCCCAGAGACTAATGCTTCTTCATTCCAAGCAATGTTGTACATCACCCTGTTTTCCGCCTGCCAGCTCTTCTCAGTGGATTCTGTTGGCTCTATGAGCAAGCCTGCTTGGGGCATGTGGATGCATTGAGTAAACCTCCTGGTTGTATAATTCATAGAATCATGGAATCTCAGACTGGTTTGGGTTGGAAAGGACCTTAAAGCTCATCCAGTTCCAGCCCTCTGCCACGGGCAGGGACACCTTCCACTAGATCAGGTTGCTCATCCAGCCTGATCTTGAACACTGCCAGGGATGGGGCAGCCACAGCTTCCCTGGGTAACCTGTGCCAGTGCCTCAGCACGCTTACATGGAAGAGCTTCTTCTTAATTGTTCTGGTTCTGTTGGTCCCAAGAGGCACGTAACCAGCATGACAGAGGCACTTGTTTCTCACGGGGGGTGTCTGCCTTCTTGCATCCATGCAGATTGTTTGGGCTGGGGACCACTTTGGGAGGGGTGGCTATAATGGTGCAGGGAATATGGAGGGGATGTGACTAGCATACCAAACAGGACAGCATTCTCATGCAGTCCCTGCATCTCCGGAGATCAACATCACCAGTGTGCTAGCAGCTGGGGATGGAGCCCTCACCCCAGGAGCCTCTATCGCAGTGGGAACACTAAAATGCCACTAAGGAGGTGCTATAAGAAGCCAACAGCATCTGTCCCCTGGGGTAGTAGCTGGACTTGATGATCTTAAAGGTCTTTTCAAACCTAGTTGATTCTATGAGAGGTGTGGTGGTGGGGATGTGTTGGTGCTGTGCTCTGCTCGATGGGCTCTCCCAAGGTGCCTGGATTGCTCCTCTTCAAACACCTCTTCCTCCAGCTGTGAGCAGGGGAAAGCTGTGCTTTGGGTTTTCTGTTGGGTTTCTTTTAATGCAGACCTCATCCTTTCCACTGAAGTAGTTTTTCTTCTCAAGGATGTAAAGAGTGACCCTGGAAGGTCTGAGTGGCTCTTTCTTGCTGGTGATTGGAGAGACAAGAGCCTTCTCCAGAAAGCTGTCTCCACCCCGTCCCCAGCAACAGCAATTCATAAGCTGAAAAATAAATCAGTAACCAGAGTTAATGAATTGAAGATGTCTGCCTTTGAAATGTATCAGGAAAAAATACTATTAGCTGGTCGTGGTTGGCTTAATTATTGCGAGGAAAAGAAAGGACCTCTTGTTTCTGAGAAAACCCTTCTTCCTTCTGTTTTGGGTGGTGTTTTGTTTGGTTGAGACTGGTCAGGACTTGAGAGGAAGAGTGCGTTGTGTGTAGGTTCAAAGGCTCCCCCCAGATCTGTTCCTCATCCCGTGGAACCTTTGTCAGATCTCTCCTGCCGCATTGCACGCCCTGCCCAGCTGAGGTGTGGGAGCAGGTTGTGCTGGCACAGGACTGAAGGAGGGGAGGCAGTGCCCGTGCTGGCAGGACTGGGAAATGGCACCAGTGCCACCAGCCTGGTCGTGTGCCCAAGTCAGGGTGTCCCAGCTCCAGCTCCCCAAGCTGCTTCTGCCTTGCTCTCGCCCCTGCTCCCAGTGAATGGGCAGCAGGGATGGGCTGTGGCACCCAGGTCTCTGCTGGGTTCCAAAGCAAATCTCAGTACCAGCTTTCTACATCTGGGTGGCTTGGAGACTGTGCTTGTGCCTTGGGACAGTGGTTCTCTTCTTGTTGGAGCCCCAGTGTTGCAGCGTGGCCCTGGAGCCAGGGGTTGATTTTCTCCCGGTCCCAGGGACTGGGAGCGATGCTGGAGCATCCGCCTGGGAGGAAGGGGCTTTGTCCTCAGCACAGATGGGTTTTGCAGCTAAATTCATTTGCTCACATGCATTTCTGTTTCCTCCCCCAAGCCATTTCTGATGTGGGCTCATTTCCCTGTCAGCCCTCATCAGGGAGGCTGTCCCAGTGTTTGAAACCCCTGGCTGGGAGCTCCAGGGGCTTTGGGACTTCCCCAAAGGAGTGTGGGTGTGCAGAGATCTGCTTTGATTCTCTCCACAGATACTTCCCTTGCTGCACAGCCTCTCTCAGGCTGGTAGTGAAAAAAGCTGAAACAGCTGGTGTGTCTCCAGCTTTGGCCATCACTGGCTGGTGTTGGGCAGGAGGTGATGGTGCTGCAGTGGGTTAGGGATCCAGTGCTCTCAGCCTGCCATCTCACAGCTTCAGCTTTGCTAGCAGCACACCATGGACCCATGCTGGCCCTGGCCTGCTGAAGTGATGCTAACGCTGCTGCTGCTCCCATTTCTTTCCCCCCTTTCCCTCCCCACCTGGTGCCTCACTGTCCTGGTGCTGCTGACCCTCTTTTCAGCTCTGAGCATTACTTGGCTTTGGACCATGGACCTGCCACAGGGAGCTGCAGTGACATTAATGCCTTTCCTTTCCCCTTCCCCAGGTCGGAAAGCAGCCTCTCTAGATTTGCCCACCGCTTGTCGGTGAAGCAGAAGCAGGAGAAGAGAAGGAAAGCTGAGTATGCCTCGGCTGAGCTGTCTGCCTTCCGCCCCAGGTCTCTGAGCATTGAATGGTAAGAGCTGCAGAACAGGGCTGGGGGAAGGGAGCTCCTGCCTCTTCATCCCCACCTCTGTCCCCACTGCTGCCAGTCTCTGTCCCTGTCCAAGCAATGTGCTGTGCGACAACCCCTCTTCAAACCCCTCTGCCTGCTGCAGAAGCTCCCCCAGGGTATCAAACTAAAACATGCCCCCTCATTCCAGTGCAGGGAGCAGCAGGGAGACCCAGGCAGCTGCTTCCTCGGAGGCCTGAAGGACACCCCATGAGCTAAGCCATGGGGATCTTTTGGGGCTCATGTGGAATGTGAAAAGCATGTCTGCTGGACTGGGGCACATGAGCGCACAACTCGTGGGTGCTCCTCTCCCCTCCATGGCTGCTTCTCTCCCATTCCCTTCCCAGCTGGTGCTCCAGAGGATGCATTCCGCAGCCCCTCGCTGCCTGACACATATCTGTTGGATAAACGAGATCCAAGAGCCACACTGGGATGGCCACAGCCAGTGTGGGGGGCACCAGAAGCCATGGCAGGGAACACGCTGGGGTGGGTGTTGTAAAGGTCAGAGGTGCCCCAGCGCAGGCCACCCCCCATTCACCCATCCCTTTGCTCCTTTCTGCCCCAGTGCTGCTGCTGCAGTGCCCTCAAGGCCCCTTGTGCTGAGCATAGGTCTGAAATTGCAGCCCCTGCTTACGCAGGGAGCAATTCATCCTGGGTTGCAGGCTCTAATGCAACAGCCTTTGGAAGCAGATCATAGTCAACCCTCCCAGCATTAGAGGTGACCTACTAAGGATATTTAAAAGAACTGGAAATTTCATTGCTTTCTGCTTCCTTAGATGGCTAGAGGAGGGTAAAAAGAAGAAAAGAAATGCTTAGAAATTGCAAGAATGTCGAGCTTGGTTTTGTTTTTCCCTGCTTGTTTTGGCAATCTTTCTGGCATTTATTGTATGTTCTAACTCTTCAGTGTGAGGTTGTGGAGTCCTCCTCAAAGGCTTCCTCTATCTGTGAGGTTAGTTAAGCATCAAAGCTGACTAGGTATTAATGAAGGCAGACAAAGAAAGAATTTAAGCTATTTGATGACAGATTGCTTTCTTCCCCTATTGCACAATTTTCTTTCCTTTGCTGAAATGATGTCATCAGGAAAGCTGCTCTGCAGTTACCATTCATCTTCCAAATAGACAAATATGTGAATTTGTAATATACCAGATAGAAAAACAAGCAAGGAACTCATTAAAACCAACCAGAGTTTCTCTTTATTTGCAATAAAAAAGCAAGAGAAGTCAGTAAATCTCATTTCTCCCTTTAAATGTCTCCCTGAAGCCCCAGATCCCATTTTAACCCTGTGGTGTCAGGTTGTTTGTGGTACCTTTTCATTAACACTGTAGCATTTTCTTGGGGGAAGCTGTCTTATAGTATTTTGCAAAGCACCTTGTAGAGCAGTGACTGCAGTGGAAGGTGATGCTGGTTTATGGGTTTTTCGTAAGCTGGCTTGGGAATGAGCTCTTGGTGAGGAGGAATTGCCTTTGTCTGCAGTTTGCCCCATGCCATTGCGTTGGAGATAGAGGCTGGGAAGTGTGATTCCTGAAAGACAATCATTTGGGTTGGAAAAGACCTTTAAACTCATCGAGTCCAACCATAAACCTAGCCCTACCCCAAGTCCACCACTAAACCATGTCCCGAAATGCTGCGTCTACACACTTGTGCTATCTCACTTTTTTATAGTCGGATAGACAAATTGAGTGGATGGAAAAGCTTAGTGTCATTTTAATTTACCTCACACCACATAGACCACTCCAGTGTTCAAACTGGTAACACTACAGTAATTGGTAAAGGGCCTACATGTTTAATTACGACCTAATGTCACGGCTTCTGCAGGGAGCTGCTCTGGCCAGAGGGCAACACCTGGTCATGGGGTTTATCCTTGGCTGGAGGCATCTCAAGCTGGATCAGATGTCCAACTTGGCAGCCAGGCGCGGGTGGGCTGGAGTGCCTGCACTTGTGTGCTGGGGCCCTCTGACACTCAACAGTTAAGCAGATAACCCAGGAGCTGTGCTGGCTGTGCTGTTGCAGTGCAGGGATTTAATTGTCATTTACGTGCACACAGCACAGGTTCCAGAGAACAGCTGGGGGTACCTGTGCATGAAACACTGCACGCAGGTTTCCACACAGCTCTGGGGAGGCACTCAGAGTCTTTTCCTATGCAGGCCTCCTACACAGCCTCATCCTCCCAAGGGGGAACGCGGGCTTTTCCCTCATGTGAAACAGCATTTCTCTGCATTCCTTGTACATCTCCAGGAATCCATGATCAATGCAGTGAGATCAACATCTTTGGTTAGTTGCTCTAAACAGTTCTGCTGCACACAGGGAGCACTGCCAGGCAGGGGAGGTCCTGGGCTCTGTGGCTGATCGAAAACATGGCTCATGCCCTCGCAAACTACAGATGCCTTATTTGGCTTCCTGAGCAAATACCCACATGCATCAAATCTGTATTATTTATATGTAATCTGTATTTATAAGCTTAGCTCAAGGGCACCATGGCATCGTTTTACCTGCCTCTGTGCAGTGGGTGAACATCCACATGGTATATGAGAGGGGTTCAGCTCATCCCATGGGGGTAGGAGGGGGATGGAAATGATGGACCATATTTTCCTAAATCAGTGGCTTCTGAGAATCCTGCCCATCTTAATTCCAAGGCTTGAAGGCAAGGAAGGGCTCCTGGACCTGCATTACCTGTTGCCAGGGAGCAAGTAGAGATTATGAGCTGCATGGATGTTCACCCTCTGCACAGAGGCAGGTAAAACGATGCCATGGTGCCCTTGGGCTAAGCTTATAAATACATACTACATATAAATAATACAGATTTGATGCAAATACAGCATTCACAGTTGTTCAGGTGCCCAGGTAGGGGTGGATGGAGCTGAGGTAGAAGAGGAGCTTACAGCATCACAGTGTCTGTCTGACACTGTGTCTCCTGAGCTGAGTGCTGCCAGGTAGTGAGACAAGGAGGGCTCACAGGGCCCTCACAGGGAAGAGCTTCTGCCTAAGAGCTCATCTCAGTCTCTCCTCTGTCAGGTTAAAGCCATTCCCCCTTGTCCTGTCCCTACAGGCCCTTGTCAAAACAAGGTTCTGAATGTCTCCTGGGACGCTGGGACGCTCCCATCACAGGTCTCACATTGGTGTGTCTGCTGGTGCACATCTTCCCCACTGGCTGTTGGAACGTGCCAGTTGGTCCCATTTCTCCCCGGCACAAGGCACGCTTTATTCACACAGCACATGAGTCTGTGCAGAGTGCACTGCTGCTGTTCCCAGCCCGGCCGTGAGCAGAGCCTCGTTAGTTTCACTTAGTGAAAAAAACTTGCTGGGGGGAAGGGAGTGAAGGCAGGGAAAAAGTGAAGTATTGGGAAAACACTTCTTTCATTCACATGTTGTTTACTGAAATAAATACTTCATTATTAGGCTTTTTTTAGGCTACTTTTTTTTTAAAGCCAGTGCCACAAAGTGCCCACTGTTAGGCCCCATGAATGTGCCAGATCACCTCAGCCCAGGGCTCCCCCCAGCCGGTGTATTGCTGCTGGAAGGTGCCTGGAGAGAGGCACTGGGGGAGCAGGGTAGAGCCAGGCTTTCCCAAGCTTCGGGAGAAAGTGAGTGCTGCTGGTGTCCAATTCTGTTCCCCTTTTCTGATTTCCTCTCTTCCTCTTTGTTGTTTGGTGCCTGCTCTGGCACCGCAGCAGCCTAAGCTCCAAGTGAGGCAAATCTGGTAATGGAGGCAAGGATGGATTTGGGGTCTGATTTATTAAAACTCTGCTTTCTGCTAGTCTGTGATACTGATCTAGCTCCAAAGCATAAACAGCATGAAGGCCTGCAAGATAAAAGCCCTCTTCGTTTGAAGCTCTCCACCTTCTGCCTTTAGAGACATCCCACTGTCCCCCCAGCAACCCTGAAATCAGCCATCCCTTTTCACCCCCCTTAGGGTGAATCAAGGCAAAGAGCCTCCTTGCCTCTTGTGCATGTCACCTGAGAAATGAGGCACATTTATCTTTCCTCTTAAGAGAGCCTTATCCAATAAAATGACTATGATCCACTGGTTTACTCTTGTGCGTGCAGAGCCTGGGAGCCTCTGTCCCCCTCTTGCATCCTTCCAGCTCTGGTGCTCATCGATAGTTCCAGCCCCAGTAGGTTTGTTCTCCTGGCATCCATTTACCTCTTCTTTTTCCTTTCCTAGCTCTCTGTCTGTTTTCACTTCTTCCATTTGTTCCTCTGCTTGCCGTTCCCCCATGCTCCTTTTCCCATGCTCACCTCTCGTTCACCCTATTTTCTTCTTGCTTTTTTACTTCTGCTTGCTGCCTGTTCTCTTTGGGCTCCTCGAGTGTCTCATGCCGGACAGCCTCCCTGTGATCCATGGTTAAAATTGCCTATTCCCATGGTGGCTCAGGAAAAATGCAGTACATTTCTCACTTCCACCATCCTGTTATCTCGTTCTGCTCCTTGGCTGCCAATCACGAGCTGTTGAAGCAGCGCTGGCAGGAGCATGTGTTCTGATGGTTAGAGGCAGGCAGCCGGCTCGGGCTCAGCCCTGCTTGCAGCCTGTTTTGCTGCCTGACTCCTACGGCTCCTCGCTGAGAGCGATGTGCTGGGACCAGCAGCTCTGCATGCAGCCCGTGCCTGCCTGGTGGGAAGGTGAGGAGGGGTTTTCCCATGATCCAGCAGCACTGGGGCTGGGTTTCCGGGCTGGTGGATGTCCGTGTGCTATGGGACTGTGGTGCCATGAGGGCAGAAGCTGCAGCCACCAGGCACAGGAGCCACACTGATGCCATCGGGCTGGCAGAGACGGCACACATGGCTCCACTGCCACGCTCTGCCTCATGCTTTGGGTTTGGTTATAAAGCAAAAGCGTTTAATGGCAGTATTTTCATGGAAGTTATTTACAATTTTATATTGTAATATTTCCCCTTTAGTTTTAAGTGGTCTCATGTGGTGTGGAAATTCTCCCTAAGCTGCTGTGCTGCAGTGTGAAATCTGTGCCA